AGATGTTTTTGTTGTACAGGGTTGGATTTATTCTATTTTTCAGGCTATTGTGAATAGGATTGTTTTCCTGATTTCTTTTTCAGCCTGTTCATTATTGGTGTATAGAAAACCTATCAAATTTTACATGTTGATTTTATGTCCTGCTACTTAACTGAAAGCATTTATCAGATCTAAGAGTTTTTCTGGTGGAGTTTTGGGGTCCTTTAAGAATAGGATCATATTGTCTGCAAATAAGAGTAATTTGACTTCTTCATTCCCTATTTATTTCCCTATTTCCATCCCTTTTATTTCTTTCTCTTTCCTTATGGCTCTAAGAATTCAAGAGCCATGTTAAATAAGAGTGGAAAGAGTGGACACCCTTGTTTTGTTCATTTTAGAGGAAAAGCTTTCAATTTTCCCCATTTAGTACAATGTTGTCTATAGGTTTCTCATATACAGCCTTTATTATTTTGAGGTACATACCTTTTATTCCTAGTTTCTTCAGAGTTTTTATCATGAAGATATGTTGGATTTTATCAAAGGCTTGTTCTACAAATATTGAGGTGATCATGTGATTTTTGTCCCTGATTTTATGTGCTGTGTTACATTCATTGATTTGTGTATATTGAACCATCCTTGTGTCCCTAGAATGAAACCAATTTGATCACGTCTGATCTTTTTAGTAGGTTGTTGAATTCAGTTTCAAGTATTTGAGAATTTTTGTGTCAAGAAAATTGTTCTATAGTTTTTTGTTGTTGTTGCTGTTGTGTTCTTATCAGTTTTTGGTATCAGAGTAATAGTGGCTTCATACAATGTTTGGTAGAACTCCTTCCCTTTCTATTTTATGGAATAGTTAGAGGAGCATTGGTATTATTTCTTCTTTAAATGCCTGGTAGAATTCATCAGTGAATCCATCTGATACTGGCCTTCTTTGTTGGGAGAATCTTTATTACTCTTCAATCTCATTGCTTGTTATATAAAAAGTCTGGGATCTGTTTAGGTGGTTTACATCCTCTTTGTTCAAATTTGGTAGGTCATGTGTGTCTAGAAATTTATCCATTTCTTCCAAATTTTCCAGTTTATTGGAATGTAAGGTATGTTGGATTTTGTCAAAAGCTTGTTCTGTGTGTATAAAGCAGATCATGTGATTTTTGTCTCTGATTCTATGTGCTATATTACATTTTTTGATTTGCATAGGAGTCATGTTCCCTAATGGTCCTGGATTTCAGGAATATCTGTTATAATATTCATTTTGAATTTTATTAATTTGTGTCTTCTCTATCTTTTTGGTTAGTTTGGCTAAGGGTTTGTCAATCTTACCTTTTCAAAGAATCAACTCTTTGTTTCATTGATTCTTTGTATTGTTCTTGTAGTCTCCATTTCACTAATTTCTGCCCTGATGTTTATTATTTCTATCTACTAATTTTGCATTTAGCCTGTTCTTATTTTTCTAAGAGCTTGAGGTGAATAATTACATTATTTACTTAAGAGCTCTATATTTTTTACAGCACTCATAGCTATAAACTTCCCTCTTAACACTTCCCTTGCTGCATTGTTGAAGTCTTATTTTCATTTGATTCTAGGAATGTGTTTAATTTCCTCCCTGATTTCTTTAGTGACCCACTGATCATTCAAAAGTATATTGTTCAGTCTCCATGGATTTGTATAGTTTCTCTTCATATTGATTTCTTCATATTTATTTCATTAGGATTTTGTAAGATAAAAGAAATTATGTTAATTATTTTGCGTTTGCTAAGATTTGTTTTATGGCCTAAAATGTGCTCCATGGACTGCTGAGGATGCATATTTTGCAAGTGTAGATGTCTGTTAAGTCCTTTTGATCTATGGAGCAGTTTAACTATAAAGTTTGGTGATTTTTTTTTTTTTTTTTGGTCTGGATGATCTATCTATTGGTTAGGGTGGTGAACTGAAGTAATCCACAGTTATTTTATCTAGACCTCTCTGTTCCTTTATGAAGTTGAGTGTATCAATATTTGGTGCATATGTACTTACAAGCACTATAACTTCCTGATGGATTGTTCCCCTTATTAATGTATAATGAGCTTATTTATCACTTCTGACTGATTTTGGCTTGCAACCTTCTTTGCCAGAGATGAGCATAGCTACTCCTGCTTGGTCCAGTCTTCCATTTACTTGGTATATTATCTTCCATCCTTTTACTTTTCGTCTATGTTTACTGGTAAGGTGTTTTTCTTGCAGACAATAAATACGGAGATTTTGTTTTTAAATACAATGAGCCAGTCTGTGTTTTTATTTTTTGGGGGGCAGAGGGGTTATCAGTGGGGTTTGAACTCATGTTTGATCAGCAGATGCTTTACTACTTAAGCCATGAACCCAGCCTTTTTTTCTTTAGATGTTAGGTGGGTTCTTGCATTTTGTCTGCAGCTATCCTTAAGTCATGATCCTCCTAGCTATGCCTCTCATGCAGCTGGCATCACAGGCACACATCCCCATGCCCAGCTGGTATGTGGTCTCACTTTTTCAGGATAAGGGGCTGGGCTCAAACCATGATTCTCCTGATCTTTGCCTCCTGAGTAGGTGGAATTACAGGTATGTGCCACCATGCCCAGTCCTATTCTGTTTCTTTTAATTGGAGAGTTAAGACTACTTACCTTTAGGGGTATTATTAAAAGATATTTTCTGATTCCTGTTGGGGTTTTTTCCTGGTTGATTTAATTACTGTGTATTCTTTTCTTTTTCCCTTATTCATCTTAATTCTCTACTGAGTTGAACATGTTTCGTTCTTTCCTAATTCTCATGTGTCCATCTATTCCTGTCATGAAATTTTTCTTTCTTGAGCTCTAGTTTTTATAACTGTCTTTACTCCTCATCTATGTGTAGGATTCCTTTAAATATCTTTTGCAGTGCTTGCTTAGTGGCCACAAATAGCTTTAGTTTGTGCTTATCTCAGGTCTTTATTTTTACATCTAAATGAGAATTTAGGTGGATATAGTACTCTTAGTTGTTTGTTACTTACTATCAGGGATTGAAATATTTCATTCCATATGTTTCTGGTTGCTACTGAGAGGTCTGATGTAATTCTGATTAGTTTGCCTCTTGTAAGTAAATTGGCATTTTTGTCTTGCTGCTCTCAATATTCTTTGTTCTATGGTCTTGACATTTTAAGTATAATATGATGTTAAAAAGTTATTTTCTGGTCGTGTCTATTTTGGGGTTCTAAATGCCTCATATATTTGAATATTCTTATCTCTTTCTGTTTGGGGGGGAGTTTTCTGATACAATATCATTGAATAGGTTTTCTTTTCAATGCCTTTACTTTTTTATCTCAGCTCTTTCTTCCACCCCATGGACTTGTAGATTTGGTATTTTGATCATGACCTAGCATTCTGGAAAGTGGTGGTCTTGCTTGGTTTTTTTTCCTTTCTTTCTTTTTGCTCTCTGAATGTAATATTTCATCAACCTTGTCCTCAATCTCTGATACTCTCTTAAGCTTGATCTAGTTTATTGCTGATGCTTTCATCCGTATTTTTGTTTGCTTTATTGAGTTTTTCACTTCCAACATTTTCATCTTTTTGTTTGTTTTTCAGAATCTCAATTTCCTTACTGAATTTTTCATCCATGTTGCTGATTTTCTTGCCCAATGTCAAATTGACTTCCCCTTATTTCATTCATCTATTTGTTTGAATCCTCTTCAAGGTCATTGACCATATATATTTATATATTATATCATATCTTTTGTGTCGGCTTGAAGTCCTTTCTTTCAGGGAACAAAGTTGCTAGAAGGAAAAGTTCACAAAAATGCCACCTAAAATTAATGAAAAGAGAGGGAGATTTGTAAATCTGCATATTTCCAATTGCCACCTCAATTCCAATTTTGTAAAAGATCTGGTGTGAGCCTCTGGAGCTCCACATGTAATGACCTCTCTGAATAGGATATGATTTTAGAGCAACTGGACTAAATAACTTCTAGAGTTCTCAGGGTAGTTTGTTGAGGATGACAGTCTAAAATTTCTGATCTCCAGCTTTGTTTTGGGAATTAAAGATTCTAGTTAATTAGCGAGTCTTCATGCTAGAATGGGAGAGATTTACAATCATTTTACAATTTAGACAAAATCTGAAGCTCCTATAGGGGAAGTGAGTTGTGTGGCATATTCTCAGATTAAGAATGGGAAGTGGAATCCATGCTAATTTGATTCATTTATTCATCCAAAAAATATGCTCATTTTATTCCATGCTACTTATTTAAAATTTTAAATTATATACTTATGCATGAAATATTTGTCATAAAATGTATAATACTGCAAATAAAAGAAAAAATATTCCTTTACCACCCTTCTCCAACCTCACATTCCTTCTCAAAGGTCACTATCTTGATGTTTATTCTTCAAGAAAACATTCTGTGAATTACATGTACAAATCAATGAACATTCATGTTTAAGCCTTTAAAAATTGATTAAAAGCTTCCTTTGCCACTTAAAAATAAGTCAGTATATACAATCACATCATTCTTTTAAACTGCTACATAGCATGTTGAATATATCTGACGTATGTATCATGGTGCATCTGAATCTATTGATCATTTTCCACTGAACGACACTTAGGCTCATTGTGTAATTTTTGCTATTGTACACACACTTGCACGCACACACACACATAATGCTGTACTAAATATCCTTGTATGTGAATTTATATGTTTTTATCTTGGCAGTTTTGTTCCTTTAGCAGCAATTCTAGTTCTTAGTTCTGATTTTTAATCTTAAAATGTATATATGTAAAAGGATATTTGATTCCTCCCCTGGAAAAAAAATTTTCAAGCTTATTTCAGTTCTAGCACTATAAAGACAATGATGAATTGATGAACGGCTTTCACATTCTTGTATGAATAACATCTGACCAAGTGCAGGGCATATAGTAAATGTGTATCAAGGGTAAAGAGCCAGCCTGTGGAGCCTGCTAGAAGTTCATGTCACACCCTGATGGGATGTTGGGTAACTTAAACTGTGTAGTGTCACTTTCCCAGCTCTGTGTTTCATCCCCAGATTACTGGAACCTTGGTTTTCACTGTCTTCACTGCCGTGCTGAGTTCCTTCCAGTTTGGATATGACATTGGTGTGATCAATGCACCTCAAGAGGCAAGTGAAAAATGTACAAGTTCTTTTGGGGGTAAGTTCTATCAGTTTCTCCTGTGTGAGGGTAGCATACATTCCTCACCCATGGAGATAAAGGCTGTCCACGTGGGAGACATGAGGTAATCCTAGCCTGCTAAGTACAATGTGCATGATTCCAAAGCTGATAACTTGGCCTTGACTTCTCAGTTAACAACTCTCACAGAAAAGATGAGTAATAAATAACTTCATCTCTGGCTCTGCTGTTTGCTGAGCTCACAGAAAACCCTAACTAGAATTCCATGTGCTCAGGAATGTTTAAAAATAAGAGAACATTACAGCCTTCAGTCTCAACCCTTATCCATGGACAAATGGAAAATGCCTGGGAATACGAGATCACATTGTGCTTTATTCAGTGCACATTTATTGAATACCTACTTATTTGCATCAAGCACTTTAACATATGCTCTCCCTAACTTTAGGAGCCCTAACACTAAAGAATTATATTCCTTCCTCCCATTCCTGTTTCTGTAGGTCATTCACCAAAAAAACTGGGTTTTCTCCATTATGAATATTTGCATAATTTTTTAATCACATAATTTCTACCATTTTTCTCATTTATTTTGTGTGATCCCTACCCAGGAAAGGGATCTAATTCTTTTCAGCACCTCTCACCTATTATTGGGGAAACCAGTACTTAATTCTCCTATGCTCTAACTCAGTCTTGTGAAGTCACAGGATTGATGTCTTGTTCCTCTTCCTATTGCCTGTATCAGGCACAGGAACTCAGTAATGTGTTGAGAGAGAGAGAGAGAGAGAGAGAGAGAGAGAGAGAAAGCACTTTGGTGGGGAAGGGATGTCATAAGGTAAAGGAACAAGCATTTTTCTTGTTGGATGCCTTCTGTGAATCCATCATGTTTAATCTGCTTCTCTTACAGTATTGACACCCAAGGACAATGCAAGATACTGCAGTGTTAATGTGTGAAATGTGTGCTGGCCACTATGCATTACCTGAAAAGGACTCTCCCAGGCCAAAAGATATGCAGCCATTAGATGCACATCATCAGAAATATGACAGGTCTCACTCTAGCTAAGATCCAGGGAATAATGCTGGGGGTCAGAGACCAGGGTCAAATCTTTTTTCTGTGGTTGACGACAGTATGTGCCAGTTTAGCAGGCTGCTTAACGTTCAGCTCATCATCACTATGACTGTAGCTTGTGGAACATCCTTCTTTTCCTTCTCCCTTTCCTTTCTCCTCCTCCTTCTCTTTCTTTTTTTGTTTTATGTTATTTTTCAGATAGGGTCTTGCTTTTTGCCTAGGGCCAGCCTCAGACAGCAATCCTCCTACTTATGGTCTCGTGCATAGCTGGGATGACAGGTGCACCAGTACATCAGGCATATTTTGTTGAGATGCGGGCTTACTGATTTTTTTGCCCAGATTGGCCTGGAACCATGATCGGCTGACTCTCCACCTCCTGAATAAGAGATTACAGGTTTAAGCCACAGTACCCAGCCTCTTCCTATTTTTGTGGAATACCTTTTCATATTCTTACTTAAGCCATCCTTTCCAGTCTTAGAAGGAAAATGTAGATCTCCCCTCCTTCAATTCATGTCCCTGAGCCAGAGTTGAAAACAGGAACCCCCCTACTGACATTCAGGTTAGTGTCCTCTCTGCAGGGCCTTCCTTCTATGTTTAAAGAGCCATTTAAACATCATTAAATAAGAATGGCCATTCAGGTCTTCCATTTTTTATTAATTGAATGACAATTTGAATTATTTTACGGTATTTTAAAATTTTTACAGCTATGAAAATCATAGATCTCTATTACAGAGAACATAAGAAAAATCACCCACAGTTTTTCTATACTATAGAACAAACTGCTAAGAACATTTTAGATTTCCCTTCAAGCCTTTTCTCCATGCATTTTATCCATACGGAGCAGCCATCTAGTAAGGCAAAAGTCTTGATCAGAGCTCTTTTATTAGAGAATGTCAATTTTCCCTATTACCCAACTGGCTTTACCTAACAGGTAAAGCCATAACTGGTGACAGAGAACAGCTATAATCCAGATCCTTGTCAGAGAGGGCCCTTCCAGCTCACTGTAGCTGGACAGTGATCAAACCATCACTGAGAAGAATGTGGGAGAAAGATGGTCTGAAGCATGTGCTTCTACTTAATTATACTTTGGTATCCTATTTGCCTCTACCAAAGTGCATTATAAAATATGGCTCTGTGAAACTTAGTTTTGAACACTGTTCCTTCTCTTGTGCACTGAACTCAGTGAGGATCACAGAAGTCTTCATAGCTTCTCAGGGTCCACTGTGTTGTTTTATCTTTGAAATCCTTCAATCATAGACTTGATTGTTTCTCTCACTTTGCATTATCTGCTAGGAAGTTTATGGCTAAACTCTTATCTCCCCTCTACCAAGTATACAACACCTAGTATTTGAATTTTGTATAATACTACCTTAATTTTTTACTCTCATTTTATCTTTGCCAATCTTTTTTCTTTTATGCTTCTATTAAAATATTTAAGTCAATTTAAATTCTGCTGTGCAGAGGTAACACATCTTTTTATTTTCAATTTAGATACTTTCCAACAATTAAAACTTGAAACATTTTTCAAAAAAAAAACAAACCCAGATTTCTGGCTTCTATTTGAAAAACTATAGGTAATCCAACACAGTTTTGCCTTTATAGCTTCCTCATTTAGGTGGGCCAAATACTACCCTTCCACAAGCTAAGCACTTGTCATCATATCCCAAGTAGTAGAGAATGCATTTCAGAGCTCCCTGTTCATTAAGATACTCCATGCCTTCTCACTCATTTGTTCCTACCTGGTTTCTTTAGGCTGGATTTGTGACCTCTATTTTATAGGATATGGTCAACCATAAATAAATCTATCCATGTTTGTATGTTTATAACACATGTATTTGGAATGGTCCTGTTTAAATACCTAACAAACATTCTAAAGGAAAATGAACAAAAATATATAGAACATTTGAAATACTGGATTTATGTTTATTTTATGTTCTCAGATAATAATATCCCACTATAGACATGTTTTGGGTGTTCCACTAGACGACCGAAAGGCTACCAACAACTATGCTATCAACAGGACAGATTCTTTGCCCTCAGTCACACCACCAGCAGACCTAATACTAACCCCTTGGGGTGAGGAAGAGACTGTGACATCTGTTGGTGTAGTCACCATGCTCTGGTCCCTGTCTGTGTCCAGCTTTGCAGTTGGTGGCATGGTTGCATCATTCTTCGGTGGGTGGCTTGGAGACAAGCTTGGAAGGTAGGCAAATTTCATAAATAAGCATAAACACAGAACCCTTAGTGTTTCTATGTTAGAATTTGTTTAGAAAGATGCCATCTTTCCTTTTATGGAATAGTCTCAGCATTGTTTTTTTCAACTCATAATCCTATGAAGTAGATAAATGTTAGACCTAATCAGTAGCAAATGCTGCTTCACTAATCTAGTTAATTATGGAGGCGTTTACAGAAAACGTGTTTTGGTGTACATCTCTAGATAATCACCTTGATCTTCTGGCTTTGTAAGTTATAAAGTGTGTTAGGAAACCATTACACAAATGGTCAATGCAGAAACTCAGTAGAAGAGCCTACACTGGAATTTTTAATCTGTGAACCCGTTGTTTACTTCATCAAATCACGCCATTTTTCAGACATCAAGGTTACATTTTTAACTTAGAAACTGGAATTTGGATCAGTCAAGTTGTTAGGTCAAGTCAAAATCGCCAGTAGCCCCATGCTAGGGGTTCCTAGCTGCTCCTGTCACTGCTATCTCAAAGTATCTACTAGAGATGAAGCAAGATGAAGCATTTCTCAACTCCAGCTTCTATTACATGTTTGTTTTGGCTTAAAAATATCAGTGGAGCTCCTTTACCCTTGAGTTGCATTTAGTCATATGATGTACTAAGGCTGTTGGGGTTTCCTACCCTATAAAGGGAAGAAATAAAGCTAGAAAATCAAATGTTTCCTTAGGTTTATTTCTTGATGTTTGAGCCCAGCTTTTGTGTATTAATTTTCTTTCATTCTCATGATAAAAATAATAGATGACACATATGGCAAATTTAGGAAATGCACAACTTTTGAAGGAGTAAGTAAAAGTATAGTAACTAGCTTAATAATTCTGGATGATAAGTCATGCCATTTTTATAATTCCTACTATAAATTATAGTTTTAGCTCTCTAGTTATTAAAATTCTAATAATTTCTTCCTCTTGTACTGGAAAGTTATATAGTAAGACTATAAGGAGTTTTCTTAGTTAAAGGGTATCATAGTAACCTAAGTTTTATTTTTGTTATTTGAAAGGAGTTTCCATCACAATAAAAGAAAGTAATCAGTTTCTTACATTGTTATCAACTAACTAGTGTTTGGTTGAACTTTAAATCAGAATAAGTAAAAAAAAAAACAGAATTAACAAACTGACTTTCATCATTTAAAAACTAAAAATCATTTCAACTTGTACCAAATTGGTTTAAATAGTAAATGGAGAATTTTCTAGATTATTTCTAAAGCAAATCAAATTAAGCAAAACTAAATTTTAAAATATGAACAATTCTTTTAGAAGCTACTTCTCATCCCTAAAGAAAATTTTAAAAGCCCTGTCCCCCATTCAGAGATGAGTTTCTGACAGTTTAATGACTTACCCATAACGTTTAAGTAGGATCCTAGTAATGAAGCCCAAAAGCATATCCTCTGCAGTCTTATGACTGCAAACGATCTCAAATGACCCAAATGATCTCAAATGACCTATTATTTGTAAAGGAAAGTGAGACTTCTTCTAACTCTCAGTAAAAGATTTATCTCCCTTGAAAACAGCCATAAAACTCATCATTTCAACTTAAGAATTAAGACAGAGTTCAGTGTGTCCCATAAAACTATCTTTTTACAGGGAGAGTCACGAGAAACAACATGATTATCCTTACTGCCATGACCACTTCTCCACTAAATAAATAAAAGTATATTCCTTCCATCAGTTTCTTAAAAAAACTTTCCTCACAATTGTGTGACATAGTCAGTAGAGGTCTATGGCAACCATTTTTATAGATTTGGGCTTCCAAGATCAATTCTTCCAGAAGTTGCATACTTGTAATTCAAGACCGTGATCTATGCCATCCATATTACCACAAGTTAAAGAAGGTATATATAGTAAATGGAACTCACAGGGCTACACTCAGTGTAGCTCAGTGGAAGACTGCTTGCCTTCCATGTGTGAGAGCCTAGGTTTGAACCCCACCACAAAATAAGTTAGTTTTTTTTTTCATACCTGTTCATTCGGATTCTTTTATTTTATTCATATATATACATGCATATATGTATATACATATAAGTATATACAAGTATATATATATATATATATGCATATATATCTTCCTAACCTTGATGAAGGTTTTTGTGTATTTTTAAAAATTTATATTACATTGGTTGACATTAACTCATAGATTCTGGAAACATGCTGGCATATAGTGTTAAAATAAGGATAATTATAATTATGAAAGTATTTAAACATACTTTAAAAGTATGTTTTAATTACTTCCAAAAACTTGATAGAAAGGAAATTTACTTTGAGAGTTCTCCTATCTGTATCAACTAAAAACCTTTACTACTGAAAAAAAATAAACAAGTTATGGATTACAATGACAGAATTAAATTTATCTATCACCACATAATTATTCTTTAAAACAATCACCTTGTAGAAAAATTAGTTAACTGTTTTTAAAAGTGTCAGAAATGTTATCTTAAGTCAAATTAGTGATCATCAAGTGAATCATCTATTTAAAGGTGGCAATCAGGTGTATGAAAGCTAACTTCTCTCATAAATATTACTTATTTTTAGTAGATTAGTCTACAGATGAGTTAAAGTAGCAATCTTGGTTCAAGGTTCAAAAACTAGCTTTTTAAGCAAAATTAAAACAATTGTTTCTTAGGTAAAAATCTCAACATCCTCTGAAAGAAAATGATTTTATCAAGTTTTGATGCTGAATTTATAATCTTTGCTTTTTAAATTTTCAGAATCAAAGCCCTGTTGGTAGCAAACAGTTTTTCATTAATTGGAGCTCTCTTGATGGGGTTTTCCAAATTGGGACCATCTCATGTTCTTATAATTGCAGGAAGAAGTATATCAGGAGTCTACTGTGGTAAGTTTCTCTTCTCTCTCTGTCTCTCTCTCATTCTCTCTCTCTCTCTCTCTCTTTCTCTCTCACACACACACACAATCTTTGAAATTTTGTCTACAGGCAATGTGGTAACATGAAGGGAAATTTTTGAGCCTAGGGTGGCAGCAGAGAAGGAACGGCAATAGTCTGTCAGTGGACTGAGACCATTAAGTGGGGATTGTAATGCTATCTACATTCCTATCTGCTACAATAACATCATTTCTAGTAGCCTGATCTCAAAGACAAATTATTTAACTTTTGACTCTCAAATTCTTCACAAATGAAATGAAGAGGATAATGATATCTACTCTACAGGGTGACTGTGAGAATGACATTTGGTGGACTCCAGTAAATGCTATTATTTTGTGGTGCAGTAGACAGTAGAAGACTCCTAAACTCAGATTCCCAAATCTGCCCCTGTGACTTAGCTGACTGTGTTTCTCTCATGTCTGACAAGACTTGGAAACCTGGGCCCATCTCTTACTTATCCCATATTTCCTTAGCCCTGTCTGAGTGCAGACATGATTTTGTGAAGCATTAAAGTAGTGGTGTCTACAGGGACAGAGAATCAGGCAGAAACAGCCAGCAGAATTCAAAATAAAGGAGTGGTACCCCTCTTATGAACTTTATGTCTGAACTGCAAGTTCTTGGAGACAGTGTTTCAATCTTTCTGAAACAACCACTTGGCATTCAATGTGTAAAACAAATGGACAAATATTTAACTTCTTAATGCAAATGAATCTTCAGTTCTGATGGTTATGGTCTGACCTTTTAACCCATTTTTCATAAATTGGAGTTGCCCTTCAAAGCACTAATCTACTAGGGTGAGGAAGGAATGGTGAGGGCACTGAATTTGCATAGAAAGTATTTCTAACACACCTACAGAAAAGACTGCAATTCCATGTGGCTCCAATGATGAACTGAAGCAAAAGCCTAAAATACTCACACATTAATAATTAAATGTCTCTTTTCATTATTTTCAATGTTAATACAAATAACTTAACATCCTGGTAGCTTTATCAAGATGAAGAGCCAACTCACATATGAAAAAGCTGTGGATTCAGAGTGAATCAATGCTGGCACTTTCTCTGCCTGGCCTTATATAGATTAATTAATCTGAGCCTCAGTTTCTATAAAATGCAGATAGTAACACTATGAATGAGGACCAAATCATGATTCTTCTTTCTTTCCTTTTTCTTTTTAAAAAAATGCAGTGTAAAAAAATCACAATTTTTTTTTTTTGCAAAATTGAAAACAAACACTATAAACATATTGCAGAACTTGCATTGTGAAGCAGCATGGACTTTACAACTACTTTCAAAATTGTGTTTTGTGGCTGTGGATGTAGCTTAGTGGTAGAGCATTTGCCTAGCATGTGCAAGGAGCTGGGTATAATCCACAATGCCATAAAAATTATTTTTGCCTCTAAAAATTATAAATATAATTTGACCATGTGTTCCTGTGACTTAAAACCTAGGAGCTTACGTATTATTTTGTATTTGAGGTATAGTACTGGGTATTAACACAAAGACGGTACATCCTTGAATAGGGTCACATATTAGAATTATATGTCATATATAAAATTTGAAAGATAATTGCCCAAAGCATCTTTTGCATAATGACCATCCGCTTCCATATGCTGGTCTCCAAGAAGAAAACTCTGAAGATCTTTTTTTTAATTCTTAAGAACACACCAAACACTCTGTCAGCAAATGGCTGGACGCAGCACCATTCCCAACATGACTAATTATGTGTGCACTTAAAAAAGCTACAGAAGACAGAACAGTCTACTGCTTTTCTATTTTTGTTTGTTCCTTTAAGCACCAAATGCCTTTCATCAAATAAAATCTTTCCTAATATTTGGATGGAATAAAGAAGCTAAGTCTCTCTGATTGGAGCAACTGGGGAGGATTCCTTCAGGTCTTTAACCTCTTCCATCTCTCTTCACCCCCATCATCAGCCCAACCGTGATCCATAAAACACTTCTACGTGCAGAGATTAAGCTAGGCTTTTGGTTCTCATGCTAATGCTCTAATGCACTGTGATTGTGGGCAAGTCATTTCTCACCTCTCTCAAGAAGTTGGCTGTTAATGTTCTAATTTCCTATAATCTCGAGTCCAGACTAAGAATATTTCTAAAACATTCTTCAGTCTCTTCTCAAGACAACCTAAGGCATTATTGGGCAAACTAAACAATAACATGAGCTATTTTCTAACTAAAACAACACTATGAGGGGTTGCCAAATACATGACTAAGCATTTAAGGGGTATCAACTTTTTTTTTTTTTTTTTTTTTGCAAAAACTGTGTCGATGGCTGGGACAAGAGCTCTTCCTTCCAAGGGAGTTGGGGAGTTTCAGTCAGGACACTGGTTGTACTTAAACCAAATTATTGTTATTGTGATTTTCCTAGCTGCACTTTAACATTTGTATGTTCATGTTTCTTGCAGGGCTAATTTCAGGGCTGGTTCCAATGTATATTGGTGAAATTGCTCCAACCACGCTCAGGGGTGCTCTTGGCACTCTTCATCAACTGGCCATTGTCACCGGCATTCTTATAAGTCAGGTAAAAGCTCCTTATCCCGTACTGTACCCATCTTCTACTTCATCTGACCTCTGCCTTCCTGACTGTCCACTCTCACTGTGTATCAGCACAGATTTTTAAAAAATTCTAACAGTGGTAGTGGAGGTGCTGTAGAAACATAGGCTTTTAAACTTAAATTATTACCACTCCTCACTTTTCTCCTTGAAGTTGTTGGTAGGATTGGCACTGGAGATTAAACTTCCAATACTATTCCAGAAGTAAAATTTTCCATTTAGATTTCATGGAATAACAAACTTCAAAATTCTGACTGCCTTGTTTCTTTTTTGAGCATTTTACCTGGAAATCTAATATGCAGATGATTGTCACAGGAGCTCCTGCTCATCTGACTGTATCCCTTCTTTTTACCTTGTGGTCTCAGAAGTCTTTGGAACCCCTGATGATCTAGAAGAAAGTCTGTAAACAATTCCAATAAAGATCATAAATCTGGCTCTCATCACATAACTTTTTCATCTATGTAATTCCATTCTATTAAAATTCTGGGAAATCAAGAAGGAATTTTAAAGTAAAGCCCCAACCAACCTTGGTTCATCCAATTGAACATTTAGGTTGGAAATCAGCCCAGCTTTTAAAAACATGTTTGATAGCTAAAGCAACATGCAGTTATAGTCTCTAGGCAATCAGATTGAATAATGTTATATTAAAGTGTCCAATTGGAGTTAATGAAAACAAGCCTAGATGAATTGTTTGTCAAACAAACTGTCCCTGATTTCATTAAGGTAAGATACACTAATAGTTTCCATCTTATGCTTTCATGAACCAAGGTTGTTAGGAATTACTATTAAATAACTAGCAGACTCAAAGTGTTGTACATGCCTCTGATATGCTTCCTTCTTATCCTTTCAGATTGTTGGCCTAGACTTTATCCTGGGCAGTCATGATCTGTGGCACATCCTGCTTGGCCTGTCTGCTGTGCCAGCCCTCCTTCAGTGTCTGCTACTATTATTCTGTCCAGAAAGCCCCAGATACCTTTATATCACATTGGAAGAGGAAGTCAAAGCAAAGAAAAGTAAGTCTGTAGCTAGTTTTTCTATCTTCCTATTGTTTTGGAATTACCAGTTGCTCAGGAAATTAGTTTTGATGCCTTCCAAATGAAGTCAGTGACTACATATAAGAAGGATGTGCCAAACCACTTTGATATGATTGGTGAATGCCATTTCATACCTTTAAGCATTCACTCGAGCTCAAACCAGAAGATCACATGTACAGTACTAAACTTAACCAAAGGCTTCCACAAGACTGTTCCAAGCATTACAATTCTATGATAACGAGAATCATCATTTTCTCTGTCATAAGATAAAGGCAAATATTCTGTGCTTTTCTTAAAATTAAAGAGAATTTAATTTAACAAAAAAGAATTTCCAACTCCCATGTGATTAAATCATAGAAAGGGATTTGCAGAACTGTAGCTCTTTCATGAATATAATAAAAATAAATTTATTTTGTTTGATCTGAGTTATTTCAACCTGATCATTTTGGGGGCAGGCTTGAAGAGACTCAGAGGAAGTGATGATGTCACCAAAGATATTAATGATATGAAAAAAGAAAAAGAAGAAGCATCAAGTGAACAGAAAGTCTCCATAATTCAACTCTTCACCAATTCCAGCTACCGGCAGCCTATCATAGTGGCACTGATGCTGCACGTGGCTCAGCAGTTCTCTGGAGTCAATGGTGTAAGTTGAAGAACATCTTCTAACTGTAAAGAAGCAAAGTGAATTGTGACAGGGAAAGAGGAATAAGTTTAAATACCTAGAGGACTTTTAAAATGCTGACATCAAGTGTTACTACACAAATGTCTGTTAACTGATAATTTTCCTTACTTTGTTTCAATGTCTTTTTAAAATGTGAACAATCAATGGTATTTTAGTTCTATTAAGATGAATGTAAAAGGCAAAAACTATAATAAATGCAAGGAAGCAAAATTATACTACTTTCCCCAAAATGCCTAAATTATAGGAGTTGAGTGTGAAATTTACGGTTTCTGATAATGTAGGCGAAAAGGAGTCCACGATTTCCTTTATTTATTTAAATGAAGTTACCACATAAGCTAAGTGCAAAGAACAGTTTCTTCCCAGCAACAAACTTCTACTGTATTTGGAAAGATAACATGTAATATAAAGAACAGAATGGGTTGGTGAATGAGGGTAGTGGACCAGACATTATTGAAAAAGTATGCTGAGTAATAAACTAGCCAGCTTTTAGGTTCTGAATTAGAACCCTTGTGTCATGAAGACTAAATGGTCCTATTGGCAATTAGTTAACAAGAAATTTAAGCATTTGTTAAGAAACTAAGTAATTAAAATACCTACCCTCTTTTGTTGCTGTTAAAAATATACATTGGACCTCTAAATAGTGAGCCAGTCCAGCTCCACAAGAGAGACTTTGGGGTGACGAATGAGCAGAGTCTGGGGGGAGGCAAAAAAGCTTCCCATCTGTTGAAGCAAAAGGAGACCTGAAATAAACCTTGCTCCACAAACCAAATTTTTCTCTGCTTTGATCTCTGACTTCCTTTGAGGGGTCTTTGATGTTTAATTTTATCCAATACTTTGCATAACTTTGAGTCTCAGACTAAATTCACATCCCTTGTCTCACTATTCCTGTATATCCAATAGCACAATACTTAATCACTCTGAACTTTCTGCCTCAGTTTTCACTCCAGTGTCTAACTTAAAGAGGCATTAAGAAATGTTCAACCTGAAGCTGCTGAGCAGCCTAAAAATGGTGGGATAGTGTGTATTGTGCTGTAAGCTGCTGGTGGCAAGACACAGTGTATACAATCCTGCATTTGTCTGTCTGCAGGAAAAGGTATCAGCAACAAGGACATGTTAGGTGAGGAGCGAATGAATGTCTTTTAGGATGATCTAAAAGACTATTAGAAACATATAAGTATCACTAACTTTTTTTTAAAAAGTATTAGAGAGGTTGTGAAGTCAATTTCTTTATCATCACTGAGACTACAGGAAAATTCTGAGTTAAATGTAATAAGCAACCAGAACTATTATAGACACTAGTGAGAGTGCAAAATTGTTACAACTTCTTTGGATAACTTTTTGGCAGTGTCTATCAAAACTAAATGTATGCATATGCTATGGCCCGGCAATTCCATTCCTAGGTATAAATACACGTATTTTTAAAGGATTGTTAGAATGCTCAGAGCAGCAGTATTCATAATCACCCTAAGTGGCAGGTGCTTAAATACTCATCAGAAATACATTAGTAACTAAATTGTGGTATATTAATATAACAAAATACTTATAGAAATGATAATAAACTGTCTACAAACACAAGGAACAATAAAGATGATTCTAAGATAAATTGAGCAAAAGAAGCCAGATGCAAAATAGGACATATTATGTGGTTTCATTTATATTAAGTACAAGACTTGGCAAAATTTATTTGATATCAGATGTTGGGAGAGTGATTCCCTTGGGACAATAATAAAGGGACAAATAAGGAGTTTTCCTAGTTGGCAATGATTTATTCCTTGATCTGAGTGTTTACTACACAGGTATGACTACTTTGCAAAAACTGAGTTGTGTACTGATGTGTACCTTTTTTATACGCATGTTTTACTAAAACAAAAAGATTAGACACTAAAAATAAAGAAAATACGGTATTATTAGAGTTTTGACCCAACTATAAGAAAAACTTGTAAGCAATCAGAAGATTTAAGCACTAATGGAAGATGGATTTTCTTCTAGAAGGAAATGGTGGAAAAAATCCTTAGGAAATTCTAGGTACTATATGCTTCCATAGAAACCTAAAATATTTCTTGCTTTAGAGGCATCAGTGTGAGGCTCTTGATGAAGGCTAACCTATCTTTACTTTGCAGATCTTTTATTACTCAACTAGCATTTTTCAGACAGCTGGAATCAGTCAACCTGTTTATGCAACCATTGGAGTTGGTGCCATCAACCTGATTTTTACTGCAATCTCTGTAAGTCAGTCCCTTAGATAAATACTCTGCTTGTTCCATGGTCCAGAAATAGGGGGAATATGTGATTTAAAAGTGATCAGTGACTTGTCCACGTGCACTGGGCATGTAGAACTACATGAGTCATGACAAGAGTCCTCTGTGAATAAGCCAACCACTACATTGCGATGAGGCATAACTCAGAGGGTGAATCACTGGCTCCGCCCACTGCTGGGATGCCATTCAGTCACTCGATGATGAATTAATAACTAACTGGGAGCCAAGAGGACTTTCTCTTTGTGTAAATGCTTGGATTCCTTCCCCTTTGTTCTATATTTAAATTCCTTGGGATTGGTTGACAGCTTGTTATTTCTATCAATATTGGATAATTTACCTAGGTTCCTCTCCTTCCATGGTTAAAGCACTTTTTTTCATCCTTACTCCTTGGAAAACCATTTAAAAATATTAAACATATTAGAGGTCTTCTCTAATAGATATCTAAGATATTTTATATTTTATAAAAGCAGAATTAAACACACTTGGCAAATTCCTCTGATGTTAGGTCACTGGGCAGAACTTCCAGGTAGCTGACAAGTATGTAGCTTCAAGTGTCTGTGTGACATGAGAGAAGGGATAGAAGTGGGACACAGCTCCTGAAAACACAATTCACTCTAAAATGAGAGTCATGCTTATTTTTAGCTTCGAATAGAAAATGTTTAAGATACTTACACTTTTCAGTTTTGGTCAGAATACTATACTCAATTTATTTTAGACACTTGTTTTTCATTCTCTGCACATGGACTTTTAACTATTACCTTGAGGTGGTCAATAAATTACAGCCTGGATACATTAAACGGTGCTGGACCTTGGAAAGAGGAGGAAGAACAAATACCAACATAACACCAGTGACTCTATAGACATGACTTTGGAGATAATGCCTGTTCAATCCAAAAGGCCACTCTAAATCAATGAAGGCCTGTTACTAGGATGCAATCCAAGGAACTATTTGCTGTTTTTGCCTCCTGAAATAATATGTGTTTACAAATCCCACTTCAACATATTTTGTTATTTATAATAGGTTTTGCTATGTAAAGCAACAAGTTGTCAAGATCGCATAACTTAAATTCTGAGAAAAATCTAAAGTGGAAACATCTGCAGAATTTCATTTTTGAACCCTGTAACTAACGTCTTTCAAGTGGGCAGAGTTGTTTTATTTATAACAGTGTCTTCATTATTTTGAATATGTTCTTTTAGAGCTCATCATTTTAGTCTGTGCAAGTTTTTAAGTAGATGACTGATATGATTAAAAAGAACAATTCTAATCATCTCACTAACCCTCTGACTACAGTTAACATTTAAATTTTAATTAATTATTTTTAATCTTTTTTTGGCAATATTTTTTAACAAACTGCTTTGTGCTTGGCATTCTACCACTTAAGCCATGTTCCAACCTTTATTACTTTAGTTACTGTTCAGGTAGGGTCTCGTGTTTTTTTGCCTGGGCTGCCTGGACGATGATCTTTCTACTGTGCCTCCCACATAGCTGGGATGACAGATGTGCCACCACACTCAACTTCTTTGTTTGGATGATCCACCATACCTGGCTAATTAATTTACTTTTTAAAAATTGTTTTAAGCCAGGCATGGTGCCCCATACCTCTAATTCTAGTACTTGGGATGTAGAGGCAGGAAAATAGCAAGTTTGAGGCTACCCTGGGCTTCATAGCAAGACCTATCTCAAAAACCAAAATCAAACAAGCAAAAAGTTGCTTTAAAGTTCAAAAGCACAAAAAGGACAGTACTTTAGTCATCTAGTTTTTTCCCTCAGATTAACTAATGAAACCAAATTCTGTGCTTGCTTTCAAATAAATTATGCAAATAGGATATGTACTATTTTTATCAATGTATAAACAATCTGGCTTTTTTTCTGAATGAATGTTTGAGAAAAGAGTCCTTCCCAACTATGTACTAATTTATGTTTCTCATTCCATGTTTTCTTCCACACCAATGAGCTATAGGAAAGGAACCTGTAATCTTGAGGGAGAAAACAAAACAGGAAGAATTACGGAGGTATGGGAGGCAGGATGTTCTAGAAGAGAAGCAGTGGCTAACAGACTCCATCTAGGCACCAGGATCTATGAGATCTGGAGCAAAGATGAGGGTTGTGGTCGCAGACGTCTCAGCCACTGACGGTACCTCACTCCTTGTCACATGCATCCTGAGTGCACACTGAGC